AGCCGTGCAGCCGATGGTTCAAGGTGCCCTGCACTTCCTTGCCGGCCGGACCTTGAGAGCACGCAGAGGACCAGCCTGGGACCAGCACCAGGGGCGTGGAGGCTGCTCTGTTCTCAGGACTCTTCCATCTCTGACAAAGAGGGCACAGGCGCAGGGTAAGCCGCTTCCTTTTCTTCCTGGAATGCCCCTGACCATGGCTCCTCTTCTTCCCTGATTGTGTATTGAGGCTTTGGGTCAAAACTGAGTTTGATGGTGAGGAGTTTGGTACCTGGTTATGCGTTACCTGTTTAAAGAGAAGAGACTCAGCCGGGCAACCAGAGGCCGACAGGGTCATGAGGGCTGTGGTTCTCATCGAGTTGGAGCTTGGGCAGGCGGAAAACCTTCGCCCCATGGGTTCTCGTTCCCATGTGGGCTGGGTGAAGAGTGGAGAGGAGATGCCGCTGAGCGGGAAGAGGCAGAAGGAAGAAGGACTTGTGGTTCCATATGGTGCCACAGGTGGGTTCTTAGCTACGCAGCTGGCCACCAACCCAACACAGCCCAGACCCTGGACTCATATTGCTTTGAGTTATCTTGGAGGGTCATCCAGTTGTCCACGGCTCCCCAAGCACTTCCCAGTTCCCTCTTGTCATTCTGCCAATAAAGGTGGGTGGAGATGTGTGAGGGGGAATGTTTATCATTATATCACTGCTATAGCTTCAGACCCTTACAGGTGAAAATCACTCTTGATTGCTTATTACTAGGGAACAGGGTAATTGAGAAAAGGTGAGGAGGAATAATGCAAGATGTGTTTTTCCCCTGCTTCCTAACTTTCTCACCTCCACAGCATAATGAATTCTGCTTATAAAAGCACATCATTACTCTTAGGAATTGGTTATTGTTATAGGCAAAGCAAGCCCCTACTCTTTGTTATGAGTCCTTGGATGCAGTGGGCAGAACAACAAAATTAGCAGCAGATTATCTCGTAGACTAAAAAATTCTATGATTTTTTTTGTGTGTGTTGTAAGATGGTGACAGATTTGACTGGGGTTCTCCAAAATTTTGTGGCTATGCTTAGAGCCCCCAGTCTATCCACTCTGTACCACTCACCTGGAACCAGGACCAAAAATCTAATTTTCAAATAGGATAATTTTTAACTTTTTTTTTTTTTCCTAGAAGGAGGGTACTCTGTGATCTTTTATGGAGCTTTGTCCATAAAAATGTGGTTGAACTGTGTCCATTGTCCTTTCAGAATTCCCCAGTGCCCAGATAAAACTAACTCTTCCATTATATAGGTATCTATTCAACTACGATATGATCTGGACAGCATCAAAAATTGATTTTTGGCTACACACTCAAGTTTATGGGGTTTTGGATGCTTGATTTGTTGGTTTTGGGTTTTTTTGGTAGGAGACAGAAATAGTTTATAATTATTCATCCCAAGTTTCCCCAACTTCCAAAATTTTTCAGTAGACCTCCACCATGACGACCTCCCTACATTGGGCCGATCCAGTTTTCCCTTAAATTAGTGTCCGTTGTCCTGCAGGGGTGAGTAGTGGAGTGGAGTGGATTGCCTGGGATTGAATTCTGTCTGATTATGGCCAGTTCCTTCACCTTTTTGCCTCAGCGTCCACATCTATAAAATGAAGGTAATAATGGTATCTGCTTCATCAGTTGTTGGAGTACAAAGTGTGTCAATACATATATCATAGTTAATTTAATGCCTGGCACATACTGAGAGCATTAGGTATTAGCTAGTATCTTGTCCCATGCCTGGGACCATACTTGCAGATGACACGCAGTGAATTCTCTGAAGTCTAGACATTTGTCTGGTGGCATGAGGGTGATTTGGACATTTGGCAGGGGAAAATGGTCTCTGGTTGTCAGAGGGCTCTTCTACTCGCTCCTCGGGGTGCATATAAAATATAAAAACCCAGTCCATTCATCTTTGTACCCATAAGTTCCACTTTCCAAGGCACAGGGAATTTACCAGCCTATTGAGTAGAGAAGTCAAAAGCTGACATTTCTTTTCTACTCTGATTGATCTGGAGAGCCAGAGTGTGAGTTGACAAAGGAGGCGGTGTATTTCCACCATGCTGAAGGTATGACTGTGTTGTTCCAGGAGTTTTACTCATTCAGAATATTAAAAAAAATTTATTTTAAGATTTATTTATTTGAGAGAGAGTGGGGGGATGGACAAAGGGAGAAGGAGACAGACAGAATCTCAAGCAGACTCCCTGCTGACTGTGGAGACCATCGTGGGGCTTAATCTCATGACCCCGAGATCATGCCTGAGTTGAAATCAAGACTTGGATACTTAACTGACTGAGCCACCCAGGCGCCCCTCATTCAGAATATTTATTAAGCACCTAATGTGTGCCAGGTGCTACTGTAGGTGCTGATAGTAAACAAGACCCAACTAATTCCAGAATGATATTAGTCACCTCTTGTTCAGAATAGCATATTCTGGATGTCCCCAGATGGCCATAAGTTTCTGAGGTGTCCTGTGAATTACCAAAAAAAGATGACGTGATGGTCACTATAGTGACAAGCATATTTTGTTGCATCCTGATATTTTTTAGAAATAGATGGTGGGGCGCCTGGGTGGCTCAGTGGGTTAAGGCCTCTGCCTTCAGCTCAGGTCATGATCTCAGGGTCCTAGGATCGAGCCCCGAATCGGGCTCTCTGCTCGGCAGGGAGCCTGCTTCCCTTCCTCTCTCTCTCTCTGCCTGCCTCTCTGCCTACTTGTGATCTCTATCTGTCAAATAAATAAATAAAATACTTAAAGAAAAAAAAGGAATAGATGGTTTATCCAACACATTGATATTTTCCACAACTATTGAATTAAACTGGATGGCCCATTCCTAGAACACAGGGAGAAGTAGACATACACTACAACAGTTACTTGTACCATTTTGATAGTTTTCTCTTGCTTGTATATTTTCCTTGCATGTGTTCTTTGGTCTCTCGCCAATTATTATTTCTTTTCTGACCTGCTGGATTGTGAGCTTCATTAGAGGAAGAACCTTCCTAGCTCACATCCCACTGAGGACTTGGCCTGACCGACAACTGGCCTGAGGCGAAGGGCTCAGGCAAGTTGAAGGGGGGAAGGGTCTGCTGCCTGGTGAGATGTGCAAGTAAGCCCTGTGTCAGCTGTGCACTGGGAGCTTTTTTTCTGATATTCAGTGGAAGACTGTCAGGGGAAATGAGGTCCTAAGACACCTCTCTCCCATGGTTCTCTCAGCTTCTCTGAAATGACTCGATGGGGTAAAAAGTCTCTCCAGATTTCCTCAAGCACTAATGGTTTCTGCTTCTAGGACTCCTAGGCAGAAACTTAAAGAGAGTTTGGGAGTTGGTCCTCTTTTTTGACTTGAAGGAATCCATGCGCTGGGAAGCCAGTGAGAGGTCAGAGTCACTGATT